GTGTGCTTGGTTGTCTGTCTCTAAGTGTAGCCCTGTGATAGACTGGTTACCTGTCCAGGTGAACCTGCCTTCACCCTGAGTCAGCTGGGATAGACTCCGCCCCCCATGACCCTGGTGAGGATTAAGGTGTAGAGATGATGGATGGATGTGAAGTTGATGTAATAATGTTGCTAATTGCTTCAACTTAACAAGGCGTGTCCCTTAAACTCACATTAGTTGATTTAAAAGTGAATTCAAGTTGAAGCAGCAACAAGAAACTTCATGACCAACGATACAAACCTGGATAACTTCAGAACTGAAGACCTGGAGGCTCAGCAGATAGCGACTATCAGTATCAGACACATTTATTTGGTCAGTTTGTGTTTTTATTTGTTAATACGCAACTGCAGTTGAAAATTTTAAAAGGTAAATTACCAACAATGTTGTTGTTGTTGTTTGATTTAAATGTCGTCTTTAAAGCTACTAAATGATCAAACACTTGAAAACAGCCCAAAACTACGACAAGCATCGAAGGTTTCTCGTCTTTAGCAGCGCGTTCGTAATGACGGTCACTAACTGCGTGACGCACACATGTGATGAGTCGAAAACTAGTTGGAACAACTTAAATTTCACGAGTAACGAACTTAAAGATTGATTAAAGATCTAAATCCTCCCACTCAGTGTAGGTTTTCTGGTTGAACACAGTTTCATTAGAAGTAACTTAAACTTCTTTATTGAGCCCAAACAGCATTTTGGAACCTCGACAATATCGTGCAGCGTTAGCCTCCATCGTACTCACGTAGGCGTTCTCGTATCTCTTTCCGTAGAAGGTGATGGGACACCCTCTGATGTCGATCGTTTGATCCGCACTAAACTGAACACCTGAAAACACGGAGAGGTCTGTCAGTCGACCCGACAGTCACAACCTCACTGTAAGCTGTGGGGACATTTTCAAAATGCCTGCACTTACCTGCCACCAGGGTGACGGCGGACAGGAGGAGCAGGGGGCGGAGCATGTTGGAGGCGGCCAATGGGCTGAAGCGGAGCTGGAAGACAGACAGTGGGACATGTTTGATTGAGCTGGTGTTTGTGAAAGCCTCAGTGTTTGTCCTGCGGGAAGAACAGCAGCCGGACAGCGACGCCACATCTGGTCCGTCTGAGTAATAGATGGTAGTGGCAGTAGCAATGTCTCTAATGTTAGCTTTGACGGTAGTAGCAGTAGTAGTGTGGCTATCGTTAGCTTTGACGGTAGTAGCAGTAGTAGTGTGGCTAGCGTTAGCTTTGACGTAGTAGCAGTAGTAATGTGGCTAACGTTAGCTTTGACGGTTGTANAGTAGTAATGTGGCTAACATTAGCTTACTTAGCAGTAGTAATGTGGCTAACATTAGCTTACTTAGCAGTAGTAATGTGGCTAATGTTTCATTGTTGGGTGATTCATCCAAACATCTCCAGCTGAAGCTCTGTGGACATTGTGGGGCTGATTTGAGCCTCGCTATTTGCTGACTGACTGCTGCTTCACAATCAAAGCTTCCCTGAACATGGAACGTTTAGCGTCTGCTTCATCACAGCGTTGTTTCCTCAACATGAAGTGGACATGTGTGTGTTTGACATGTTGTATTTACCCCTGGGTGACTGAACAGCGCTGCATGGCGTCACACGTGGAGTTCTGGAGGGTTGTAGACCGATCACAGGTTTGAGTTATGCAGGTTTGTGGATCATAGCTCACCTGTGAATCAGGAGTATACCCAACGCCTGACCGGTGAAGGAAGCAACCGTTAGCTTGAAAACTCACAGAAGACTTACTGGTGAGCTGCGAGCACAAACCGACCTGCTTCTCTGCATCCAGTGAAGTCCAGATACCTCATACTTGCAGATGTCAATGTTGAGTTGACTTTGGTGCCACCCAGGTATGTATCAAACGTCTGAACAAACACAGGCAGCGTTACAACCACAGAGCTGAATTCACTCATACAGACGAAACCACTTTTCTGTGCTTCAACTCAACGAGGCGCGTCGTCCTGTTGAAGGCTCAGTTCAACATTAGCATGTAGCACTCACCACCGTGCCTATTCCAGTCAGAGCGGACTGCTTCCCGTAGCTGGCTAAATTCAGTTTATGCTGCAAAGAGGGAACAGAAGAAAATCCAGAAGTCAGGAAGTTTCCTTCAGAGAAGTGTCTGATGTGACCAAAGCCTCACGTTGAAGCTGTCAAAGCGCTTTACTTTGGGTGAAACAGGAAACTCAGATGTGCCGTGTTGTGACGCTCACCTGCCCCTCTGTTGAAGTATACTGAATTCTCCAGCTGCAGCTTAAACTGCTGTTCATGTTCGGCAAGTTTAACTTGAAACTACTGGGATTTAAAACGAAGGTGACTTGGCCCGATGCTTGTGGCCCGACCACACAGTCGCCCTTCGGCGTGCTGCTGAAGAGGCCGTTGAAGCAAACTGCGAGGCCGGTGTTCATGAATTCCACCTGAAATCAGAGACACAAGTCAGACAGCAGCTTCTCCACACAGTCTCATGGATGCGTCTCCATGCTAAAGTGACAGCCTTTTATTTTGAAGGGTCAAGGTGACGTATAGGGCTGCAGGTGGTTCAGTGGTTAGCACCGTTAGCACCTCACAGCTATAAGGTCGCCGGTTCG